GGGATTGACATCTGAAACAAGCTTGTTCCTAATTTGAACTAATAAAAAAAGAAAATAAAAAAAATTCAGATGGATGAGTGTAACTTTACATGTCTAGGAGATGTCAAATCTCACACCTGTTCCTCTAGCTCTTGCAACCTCCTGACTCCTCCCCCACCATGAACAGGGGAAAGCAAAGGTGGTCTTGGCCCTACAGAAAGAACTACAGGCAACAAAGGGACACTGAGAGTGAGAAATAGTCTTCTTCAGGGAAGAGAGCATCAACTGGTTATCCAGTACCAAGTGGTCAATCCTGAAAACACTCATGCAGGCGATATACAGACTGAGCAGGTTTTACTTATATATTTAGGAACACACACACACACACAAAAAAAAAAAAGAAAAAGGGATATTGTGAATTTGGAAGAGAGCAAGTGTGTGTACTTTGGAGGGTTTAGAGGGAGGAAAGAGAAGGGGGAAACCATGAAATTAAATTAATTTCAAAAATACTTTAGAATTCAGATGGTAGCTAAAGGAAGTAAAATGGCTGAAAAGAAAACAATGTATCCTGTGTGAACTCATACTAGATCTTACATAATGGATGTAGGGTATTCATTGTGATGCCTATCTGGCGAGAATCTTGAATAATTTGGTTTCAAAGCTTCTTGGTGTATATGGGATCAAGATAGGTGGTTGGCTCCTTAAGTCAAAGAATTTCTTAGAACTGTTCTTTCCTGTTGCCTCTCTATGAGTAAGCACAAAGCTAGTAATTAACTTTGGTTGCCCTGGTATTACTGGTGAGTACAATTGATTGTTATTTACAGCAGCTGCCAGCTAACTGTCAGTCATAATCTATTCAGTGTGAGATTCAAGATGAAAAGTATAATCTTTTTACATTTCAGTTTTGGTTATTGAATATTTTGTTGTCCAGTAATAGGACAGTTAAAGATAATCTACATATAGTTAAAGGTAACCCATAATAACAGGCATGATCAAAATAGACCAGATGGTGGCTTCCATTTTATAAAACCACATCATAGGAGGGGTTCAATATTGTCAACATTTTAAAATCATGGTTTAATAGAAAGTGATAGGATGAAATCTAAAGAGGATCTCCAAATTGGCTTCTTAATCTATGGTAGAATGCCCTTCAAATTCTAACAGGCACCTGGATCATCCATGGATGTTTCAGGGCACAGTTTGATTCAGTAGGTTTGGGGTGATCACAGTCTGAGATCCACTTTGCAGCAAACCTCTGGCAGATACTGATTCAGCTTGTCCAGGAGCCACACTTTGAGTAGTATGAGTTTGGCAGCTCTGTAAAAGAGCCCTCACTGGTCTCTTTTTGTATTTCCAGGGAAGACAACAAAAGCCACCCTCAAGTGCAAAGATCAGAAAGAAGCTGCAGGTTATAGTCACGTTTACAATATTTATCCCCCAGGACATTCAGATCAGGATTTCCAACCCAGACTTCTTCTGGCCTCCACACCTACATAGTAAACAAAGCACAGGCTACTCTCACCTAAGGGATTCACAAAGCCCTCAACAAACATACCCTAGCTCAAACACATGACTTTCAGCCATTCCCAGTCCCACCCTGACACTGCAGCTTCATCGTGTCTGACACCCAACTAAGAAATGCAGGCACTGGCTTTTCTCTCCTTTCTCCTGCTACAAACCCCAGACTCTTGCAAATAGCAACTTGATCTTTTATTTCTTTCTGTCTGTACTTCCCTTGTTCATTCCCCATGTACCCTTTACATGGAGTAAACTGCAGTCTCATAACTGGAATCTTTCTTTTCTCTTCTTTTCTTGCTTGCTTGCTTCCTTCCTTCCATTAACTTAAAATTTTTTTGAGTTTATGGTTACAACTCTTCTCCCTTCCTGTTCTTCCCTCTAACGTCACCCCTATACACCCATCCTTTCTCTCTTTCAAACTCATGGGTTCTTTTTGCATTAATTGTTATTACCTGCATAGATGCATATATAAATACAGATACATTTCTAAATACAACCTGCTCAGTCTGTATAATGTGACTTGCAGTGTCTGTTTTCAGGGCTGATCACTGGAGTTTGGATAAGCAATCAGCGTGCTCTTTCCTGAGTAAGGCTATTGCTCCCACTCCCAGCATCTCTTAGTTGTATGTAGTTTTTTGTACATGGTTAAGTCTGCATGGAATTTTCCCATCATTGCTGGCAAACACCTAAAGCTCGGGGAACATTGTGGAAGAAGGGGAAAAAAGACTGTTAAAGTCAGGTCAGGGAGTTTGCTGTGAGAGTGTGTCTTCCAGTAATGTCAGAAGCTACATCTATAGAGTCTCACCAACATGACTTCCTAAACTTGAGCTGAACAAGGATGATAACTTGAGTTATCCAGTCATTCTCCAGGTTTTTAACTTCGAGATTCTATAACCAATGGAGCTGAATATATCAATAAATTGGACATAAAAGCTTGTGTTTGAATATACTCATTTATAGATAAGGAAATTTCAATCTATTGACATGTAATAACTTGTCCGAAGGAAGTAACAACTGTTTCAGGATGAAGTAGTTGTCTTCTGAGACAGGGTCTTATTATCTAGCTTGTGTTGGCCTTTAGCTTCCAGTCCCCCACCCCTGAGTGCTGGATTACTGGTATATATCACCATGTCTGACTAAGCATTTGTCTTTTTAAAAAACATGTTCATTCTTTGGATGTGTGTGTGTGTGTGTGTGTGTGTGTGCCTGCTTGAGTTTATGTGCATCATGTACATGTAGGAGCCAGAAGAGGACATTGGATCCCCTGGAACTAAGAGTCCCCATTGTGGGCGCTGGAAACCAAACCTGGGTCCTCTGAAAGAGCAGCAAATGCTCTGAACTGCTGAGCTGTCTCTACAGGTTAAGGGTTTGTCTTTTAAAGTCCATTTCATACATGGTTAAAATCTTCATAAGAAGTCTGTAAGATTTGAGTCATTTTCTCTCTTTATACCCCAAAGGAACATACAATACAGAGTTCAACAACTTCGTGAAGTTATATAGATGGAAAGTTACCTCCCCGGAATAGAAAACTACTATTGCCCATTTTTCAAAGTTAGACCCTGTCTTCTGGTGATATGTGGCATTCAAGGAGTGAAAAGGAGACCCGGGTTCTGCTATTGACTCATGTATGTCACAAACATTCCATAGGTAACTTCCCCAGGCTACTCTGCGGTACACTTAAAGTGATTAAAGTGACTATATCAGATGTTACATTTTCAGATATGTGTTAGACAATGCTGGAGATCTGACCCATGGCAGTGAGCATGGTGGGTAAGTTCTCTGCCACCCTAACCCGAAACCAGACCCTTTTGGAAGTGACTTGAATGTAACAGACCATGCTGACTGTTCACTGCTCAGCGCTTCCTCTTTTGACTCCTCTCCTCCACTGTCATGTCTATATACATTCACTTCAGAGCTTGTTTCTGGGCAACCTGACCTAAGTCAGTATACTTAGATTTATAGATCATTCTGTACTTGGATACATTCCTGAGAAAGGCTAGAATATCTTGCAGTCTTAAAAAAGAAAGTATTTCATATCTGTGTGGGATGAGAATATCAATGTAAATATTCTCCGAGACAGGAAATCAGATGTGCTAATTCCTCAAGGAATCAATCAGGATGTATTAAATCATATCCCCTGCTCTCACAATTCCTGTATAGCCTCTTCATCATCAAGATTTTGTTGTTGTTGTTCAGCAAAGGGGTTAGAAAACTATGCACAAGCTGAATCATGAAGTATGATTTACTCATACAACGCTGTCTCCACCACCACAGCCCTGCCGGAGCCCCACCAGAGCATCCCGGTCACCTACCAGCACTCTTCCTGCAGGCTTGCTGGATGCATTTTTGGAATTCTGGGGGTCTGACTTCATGGTCGCAGAGGCACTGGTTTTGATCTTCAGTTGTACTGTTTTCTGAGGGGATGCAATGGACAGTCCTCTTCTGAGAGCCACCACCACAGGAAGTGGTGCACTGGAAGGGAGACACAGAAAGAGTCACAGTTCCTCCCCAGGACTACCAAGGAAGCATCTCTTACCCCTCCACAGTCAACTGAGAGAAAGTCAGAGAAAATTACCAAGAGCCCTTTGGAGCTAGGCCCACTGTGAGATCAAGTTGTAATAAAACATAGCTCTGTCATAGTTGAAATCCAAGTCAAGTCACGATGTGAGTTTAGGAAGAGCCTTGTGCTAGAGGCTGCTGGAATGACTTTAGCTTAATGTGCTAATGGGTTCTCTATAGAGTGTGTTCCTCTTTCCCACATTTGAAAATGCTCTGCTGGTCCTATCACACAGCTACACTATTGGGATCCAAATATCCATGCTAGTACCATAGGGCCATGCCAAATCTACCATATTTTACGCATCCAGGAAAAGGTACTGGGATCAAGGTTGGGCCAGTTGGTCACATCATTTGCAATATGTAACAGACACAGAAAGAGATTCAATTTTAGAGTGAATGGTGTAAAAGTGAGTGTGGTTGGTAGTTACACCTCTTCCCAAGCAATAGGTGAATAAGAAAGTGATGATAACAGGGTAGAGTATACCTTTGAGGAGGAATGAGAATGGAAGATGGTTGTAGGGTACAGACTTGATTCTGATTAAAACTATCAACCCAAACACTTATTTTGACATTATGATTGTATGACAAACATTCATCTTGACTTTATGAATACGTGGTGTGAAAGATGTGGAGGAAGGTTGAACTAAAATGAAAATAGAGGAAAATCTCACTGTTTAGGCCATGTTGTTTTCCAGTTTCTCTGGTCTAGTACTGATTTGGGACTAGAGACCAAGCAGAAGTAGAAGGGATGATGCTTTTAGGAAGATGAAAGTAGTGTCAAAAAGGGAAGTTGGAGAGAAAAACCAGTGAGAAATGGTCGGTGAGCTGGGTAAAGACTATAGTGTTTATGGGGCAGAAAGGGGTCTACAGGTCTTTGAATTTCAGTCTTTCTGGACCATGGTTGATCTCCAGGTCTACTGACATATAACACACCACTGTAATGCTAGGATTGGGCCCCTGCAGCAGGACTCGGTGTCTCGGGCTTGAGGAAGCAACTTTCTTCAGGCAGTTCTTAAGGATGTAAGAAGTTGTGACTATTTTCTTAAATTATTTTATTTGTGGTAAAATACAAAGAAAACCCATAAGATTTACTATTTTAATCCTGTACACACACACACACACACACACACACACACACACACACACATCCTTTTTTGTTTTGTTTTTGAGACAGGGTCTTGTTATGTAGCTAATCTGGTGTTCCAGATGCACACCACCACACAGTACTTTATTCTAAGCCTTGTTAAGTACACAGTGTAGCAGCCTTAGGAACATTCTCAGTGTATACCAACCCTCTATGGAAAACCATTTTAGCAAACTGAGACTGTATTTTAAACAACTTATCTTCCATCTCTACTCCAGCTCCCAGAAAACACCATTATGTCTTTTTAATCACCTTTGATCACTGTAGGAATCTCACTAAGTAGAATAAGACAGTTGCCTGTTTGTGACCAACTTATTACAGTTAGCATAATTACTTCTAGTTCATCTGTGTTGCACTGCATAGATTTCCTTTCTAAGGTGGAATAATGTTCTAATGTGGAATTTATGTCTGTTCCACACTGCTTTTGCATTCATCCTTGAGGGACATTTGAGCTGGTTCCATGTTTTGGTTACCGTGATGCATATACACACCTATGGTTTTTTATTTTATACCACCATTTGTTACTTGTTAGACTTGTCTTTTTTCTATGAGCAAAACGTCCCAGGACAGAATCAAGTTCCCCATTCTTCATGAGTCACAGCAATCAATATGATTTTCAATGAATATGAACTATCTAACTCTCTCAAAAGGTGGCTGAAGGGAAAAGTCATTAAACGTAGAAGAATCCTTTTGCCACTTGAAACATTATTGGAGACTCAGATCACTAGTTACCAGACCAGGATACCACCAATCAACTCTGAATATAGCTAACAAAACCTCATTTCTCACAGAGACCACATAGAGAGGCAATAGGAGGACAAATGGGACTTTTTCTTAATGTTTACTGATCTATTTTATTTTACTGTATATGAATCATGAATTGTGAGCAGCATGGGGTCTCATGTTTGAATTAGAGAGTCAGAGTTTTCTGTGACTAAATCTGAAGATAATTTTAATCAGTCAATTCACCTCAAATCTCCCACAGGTATTGGCAATGAAACAATGAAATACCTCCTCAGATAAAACATTCGGGATCAATAAAAGTCTGTAACAAAGGTCAGAAGGAAGAAAGATAGAGAATAATTAAGCCAGACTCCGGATAGTCCTGGACTAGGGTTTAGGGGAATTGGGATTTCTGGCTGTTATCATCCTAGATAATTTAATACACCTTTCTTTTTCTTTGTCTGTAAAATAAGATTGTTTCATGAAGACCAAGTGTATTAGTTTGATTTCCTGGTCACATGATAAACACTGACCAAAACCATCTTGGGGGAGGGAAGGGTTTGTTTGGTTTACAGATTTCAGTCCATCATCCAGGGAAGCCAGGGCAGGAACGGAAGCAGAGGCTATGGAAGAATGGTGCTTACTAGGTTTCTCTGGAGCTTGGTCAGTTTGCTTTCTTACACAGATGAGGACTGCCTGCCCAGGGGTGGTGCCATCCACAGTGAGCTGAGCTCTCTCACATTAATTATTAATCAATTTCCTATAGAACTCAGGTAGAACAAGTCACAGCAACAGCAGAATTTTTCTATGGGATAGAGAACTTTCATCACCCCATCATTAATTAGACAGTGTTATTTATATAACCAATAACATTGGGAGATAGTAAATCTTGCTCTGAGTTATGGTTTAATTATTTTGTTTACTTCTCCATCAGATGGGCTGGCCATCTGGCAAACCGCTTTGTGGGCAGAAGAAAGGCTTAAACTTAGAAAGACTAAATCTAAAGCTCCAAGATATAAGAGACTATATGGGTTAAGAAAAAAAAAAAAGATAGTAAACCCAAGGACTTGGGGCCCAAAGTAACCTCTCCTTAGACCTATGCTTCTGGAATATTTTTGCTATTTGATCTTTTCTCTTTTGAAAGTATTTGATTTTTTTGTCTCTTCTAAACTCCAGATAATGAACATGGACTCAGAGCAGCTATGAGGCCACTTTAGCAGACCTGGAAGTGGTACATAGGCAAAGAACAATGAAAGGGAAATGCATGAAAATGTGTTACAGGCCAGTGAGTAAAGGCTACGTTCAAAAATCCAAAGGAAAATTGATATTGAATCTAAGGTAGAGGGGCCAAAGAGATGACTGGCTATGGGTACTTTCGGCTCTTCTATAGTACTCGAGTTCGGGTCCCAGCACCCACATCAGGTAACTTACAACCCTCTGTAACTCCGGCTCTAGGGTATTCCATACCTCTGCCCTCCAAGGGCACTGCACTCAAGCATGCACACCCACAAAGTAGACACACATGCAGATGTATAATTAAAAAATAGGACACAGTTGCTATGAAGGGGGAAATGGGAAAAATGGTTGGGAGGGATTTACCTGGGGATCAGGGAGGGAGGGAAGACCAGAGGAAGAGGGAAGAAGCAGGGATAAATAACATTAAGGATGTTTGAAAGTTCTATAGAGAATCATATTATCTTATGTTTACCTAAAACTATATATAATACATACATACATACATACATATATCTATATAATGTAATTGAAATTGTAGCACTTAGGCTAACAGTGCTCTCTTCAAGACTATATATAAGCTGTCTAACAAAGATCTCAGTTCCAGTCCTGAGAAATCTCTCAAAGAATATACACTATTGCTGTTGCTTTTGATTCCTCCTAGAAAAAGAAGCTAAGATCCTATTGCTGAAAACATCACATACTTTGGACATAGGACTCAGAAGAATGTATCTGGATCTGACCTGGTAGCCTCCTAGCTGAGGACTAGTCCCCATTTCAGAGGAGCTATTCAAGCTGACAAGAGAGAAGAGCAGTCAATAGTCCTATCCAGATGAACCTATGAACCACAGCAATGCTAGCATAGGAAGATACTCTGAAAGAACAATAGTGGCACTTACATCCTTGGGAGTAACCAACAGCTGTGTGATTGGTCTTAAGACCTGATCAATGGGAGGGAATTTGTGTTTAGCACTGTAAATTTAATCAACCCTTGGCTGGTAAGGCATTGGACTCTAGATGAGAACCTAATGCTGTCACTTTCCTAAAGCAGAATGATTTCTAACTATACTTTAAGTACTTTTCCTTATGTTTACACATGAGTATAGCTCTCATCCCTCAACAATTTTTTGCAGTAGAAGAGCATTACAGAAAGCTACAAGTGAACAAAATGCAGAGTTCAACTGACTGTAGGATGCCTGTCCCCAATTAATGCAATTACAACATAAGTCCTATACCTAAGGCTGAGGGAACATTGTAGAAGAGGGATCAGTAAGAGTATAAGAGCCAAAGTGTTAGTATTCAGGCATCTGTACTGGCCTGTCTGTTCTGACAGGATATGCCCTCAGCTGCAGCCACTAAGAGCACCACCTGTGCATATTCACTATGTTCCCTTTAAAAAGGGCCCTGCCCACCTCCCATCCCCCTCTCTCTTTCTCACCCTCTCTCTGTTTCTCTCTCTCTCTGTCTGTTTCTCTCTCTCTGTCTGTTTCTCTCTCTGTCTCTCTCTCTCTGTCTGTTTCTCTTTCTCTGTCTGTTTCTCTCTCTGTCTCTCTCTCTCTCTGTCTCTGTCTCTGTCTCTGTCTCTGTCTCTCTCTCTCTCTCTTCCCCATCCCCTTTTCCTCTCTCCTGCTGCTCCTGTCCCTGGAGGCTGCTCTCCCCCTCTCCCCCGTTTATGCTCCCTTTCCTTAATAAAAAACTCCTCTGCTTGAACCCTGTTGCATAGTGTCTTTCTTTCCAGAGCTGCTTTTCTTAAATTACAACACAAAGAACCAGGAATTGTGCTGTGAGTTTCTTTTAGAAGAATAAAAAGAGAACATGAAGTATGTGGGTGAGGTGGGGAAGAAGGGTTGGATCTCAGAGGAGCCAGGGGAAGTGTCAAGAGCAAATATAATCATGATGCACTGTATGAAAATGTCAAAAAATAATACAAAAACAAAACATTTACAATCTCCATAAAGATATTAAACATGCCCCTTTCCATTCAGTTCTATAGTCTCCAATCTTAGCAATAAATTTTCAAGCAGAGATCTGTAATTTTGAATTTTTTAAATGTGCTAAAATTTTTCTTTACAATGATAACAAAATTAATAAAAATGTTAAAAGTAAAGCCAAGGTAGAACAAGGCACCTATAACCAACTCTTACCAGGTCCCAATTCCCGGTGGCCCAGTGGCAGCAAAGGTGCCTGTTGCAGGGCACAGTGGATGTAGGTCTTTTTGTCCAGTCACAGAGGCCTCCTGGGCAAGAGACTTCTCTCTCCTGAACACCACCTCCACAGGACCTAGAACACTGACACACAGGGCAGACAGGCAGTGAAAAATAAGTGGTGCCGAATTTACTGATAGGCATAAATTTTTGGTATCATTTTGGCTGTGTACTGGAGAACATGGTATTGGTATTAGAACCTGAACATCTTCACATGTTCCTTAAAGGAATGGTCTTCCAGAATAGATGTTAGGTTGTCTGCCTATCAAATATTCTAGAGCAGGCAGGGTGTCATCAGTTTTGCTTTCTGGCACAAGTTTTTGGTAACAAAAAAATATAAATTTTGGATTTTTAAATATGTGATTATGGGACTGGAGAGATGGTTCAGCAGTTAACAGCACGGGCTGTTTTTCCAGAGGAATCAGGTTCGATTCTCAGCACCCACACAATGGCTCCCACTACCTGTACCTCAAGTTCCAGGGAATCTGATGCCCTCTTCTGGCCTCTGCAGGCACCAGAAGCACCCACAGTACACAGACATAACGTGCAGACAAAACACCTATACACATAAATACAAAATTTTTATATCTGTTTTTAATTAATTAAATTTCCTTGTCCAATCACAGTTTTCCCTCCCTCCCTTCTCCCCTCCTAGTCCTTCTCACCAGCCTCACTCCTTACCCCATCCACTTCTCCTCCTTTCTCTTTAGAAAAGGGCAGGCCTCCCATGTATACCAGCCAGCCATGGCATATTAAGTTGCAGAAAGTTTTAAAAATATATGATTAGCTCTGTCACCCTGCAAGGAGAATACACCTCATTCGCTTCCTATTGAAATGTGACAGTCCTCCTTTCCCACTACATAAGGTTTTAGAATGGAAGGAAGTTTCTTTTAGTTAATAACATTGTTGGGCTTGCTGAAGATTGTGATACACAGGTAGTGATACTCAGAGAGCAAGGTCGATTTCTTTAGGGATGCACATCTAAAAATGTCAGATTGTTGCTTATCAGAATGATTTCATATGGTATATAGTCTCATTTCCATGATGCTTCCAAGAGGAAATTAATTCACTAATAATCTTCTAAAAGTAATGCAAAAACAGTGACAGTGCCTTGAAGGTCCCTAGTTATGACATAGTTACAACAACAACAACTAACTGTGGTTGTCTTATCAATGCCAAGTCCATCTCATGAGGCACTGTGTATATGGTGGTATCACAGGAAACAGGAAAATTCTATAGTTGGCCACATATGCCCAAGAAAAGACCTAACATGTTGTCTTCAGAAGATTCCAGCTTTGAGAATCAACTTAGATTCCAGACCCCCATTTACCCAATCTGTTTGTAACCTTATTTGAGGAACAAAGTAGAATTCAATCTTTGGATTCTTGTGGCTCTGCATATATGCAGATGGTTTCAGGGCCATTTGACCAAGTAGAATGAAAAGAAGATAAATGCTACTCAGACCAGCAGTGTCAGCATCCTCTCATAGAGAAAAGATGTTATAGATTCAGAGTTCCCACCTTGGGATCCCTAATTGGATCCTCTGGGGATAGTCCCATCCTTTGTACATTGACAAACCCTCCAGATGATTTGAAGCATGCTAACATTTGACTACTACTGATATAGATGTTGCCATCAGTAAAACACATCAGCCCTTTAACTAGTCTGCGATGGCTGACATTTCCCAAATGGGCCCAAAATATTCTCAGGATGGCAAGCTATTAGAGTAGCATTATGACAGGTCAGTGAAAACATCTAAAGTTATGTAATCTCTAAACTGCTCCAGGAGTTACAGTTCTCATCTCCACTGTATCTTCAAAGAGTTTTCCAACTTTTGGTTTTTCCAGGATAAAGATGTTTAGAAAGGTTGATGGGAGGAGGCCTGTAGGGGACAGGTTGATATTGGGACTCCCAGCTACTGAGGAAATACACAGATACTATCTTTTCCATAATAAACAAGACCTGACTGGGAGATTATCATCATGGGATTGTTGAGTCTGGGTCCCACTACACAGCATGGCAGGCCAGTGTTTCACTATGCAGACCAGGCTAGCCTTCAACTCACAGAGATTTTCCTTTCTTTACCTCTCAGGAGCTGAGCTTAAAGGTATGTGCCTCCACTCCTGACCTTTGGCTACTCATTTTTGATAGCCTGAAAACACTATTTCTCTTGACCTGGAAATTTCAGCTTCTCTGTAACTTTTTTTTCAGGGTCTGCAAGATTTACTTGAATGGGTTCAGGCTTGGCTTAGCATATGAGAGCAACTTGGAGGCCTAGGTCCATATGTGGAAGCAACAGGTACTCCATATATTCTAGAGTTGAGTAGGGAAGAGAAGGGGGGATAGAGGACAGTAGGACAGTGTCCCATACCACCCTCGGTAACACCACATAGTGGGTCTGGGACCTAGGAGTCAACATGAGCTAGTGGCCCATCATGACATAGGAAGTCTCAGGGGAATCAACCTTCTGTGCTAAGTCTGTGTCTTTAGGTTGTGAACCTCTGTTTCCCTCCTGGGTACATTGCAGGTATTTCTAAAAAGAATTAATGCTTCAGTCTTTTTATCCCAGTTCACTCTGCTCAGCTCTCACTGGGCCAAGTTCTATGGAGGGGCAGGCAGATACTAGAGTCTGCTTTACATTTGAATAAATCTTTATCATTTATTTTCTAGTTGTGTAGCCTCAAGTACATTTTCCAACATCCCTGAGTTAAAATTTCTTTATCTATAAGATGGAATGAATAAGGCCTACCGACATATCACTGTGAAAATTAAAGCAGGTAATAGATAAAATTCACTATGGACACACTCACAGTACCTTATAGTTTTGACTTCTCATCTTTGGACTGTGCATGAGTATACCTGGGAGTATTTTTCAGTTATTGATTTAATTGTCTACTGGAAAATGAGACTATTATGCTTTACTAGAGAAAAATAACCTTTCTTTCATAGTCTAGACATCAATATCCAGCAGAGGTAATCCTCTCATTAAGGAGACATGCACAGTCTCTTTCATTTGTGCAAACAATCATCTGTGTATTTAATTGAGATAGGAATCTAAAATTATATGGTATGAGAAGGATCTCATCATTATTCCCAGGCTGACTGAAGAAGGCTTAGATAGGTGTGCGAGGCTATTATAAATAGCTCGTCAAAGTAGTCTATTTTGAATCATTTCATTGTGTTCATATCTCCCAGCAGGGTCCCTAATTATCCAATATATCCATTGTGAGACCAAGTTCTAATAAAACACTGCACTGTCATAGTTGACACTATACCATATAATTTTTCCAGTGGATTTTTTTCAGCTCCTGCAAGGTTTTGACCTGCTGTTTCTCCCATACCATGTTGGGTCACTAAATGGAACTGAATCTCTGGCATGGTTCCAATGTGGTCGTCTGCACCTTCTAGACTTGTGTTAGTATAACAATTCATGATCTATTAGATTCAATCTCTGTGAAGCTGTATATCCCTTTGGGGTGCATTACCTGACTCCAGGGCCCCACTTGCCATTCTTCACAAGGCTCCAGGTTACAGCTCATACTCAGTGGAGGAGGAATGCCAGCCAGGAACTGGCAATGAAATGGCCTCAGGCTCCGGTGGTGGTCCTGGCTGTCCATGCACTGAATCTCACGAATCTTGAAGCCTCCACTGCAGTTTCGGGAGCACTGGATGGAGAACAAAAGCAAATGTAACACCCGAGTCCTGGGCTCTATATATATATTAGGACTCTATACTCCATCATTGTGGAAGCCTCAGGCTCCTAGCATGGACAGGTCATAATTAGTCTGCATGTACCCTGTTTTTCTTCATATTTATGGAGAGGCAATAACTTAAGCAAAACTCCTATTTAAGGCATCCTGGCGTCAAAACAAACAAACAATCCAACAAACAAAAGCAAAAACACCCATGTTTAGATGTATAAGTTTGGACTTGTATGAGTATCCCAGTTTTGTTCCTCACTAATTATGAGCCTTGGATACACGTTGAGCCTCAGATGACAAATTTGTAAACTGGGATGTGTAACCGCTATCTCACAGGCTACTAGAAGAATTGTGGACTTTTGGCAGTGGAGACCTGCCCTGTCTTAGAGAGTAGCCACTCATGCTAAATGTCTGTATTCACTTCAAGCAAGCCAACATCCAGTGCTTCCTGGTACGGGGCACTTTGGTTCCAATGGAAGGACCACTCTGACAAACTACCTTCACTTCTCCCCCAGAGCTCCACTAAAAACTAGTTTTATCCATGCCTCAGAACACAGCCTAGGTTATTACATCTCTTAGGAAGGGTTATGTTAGAGAAATAAAGTGAGTAACTGTTCAGTGGCCTGACTCATGGGAGTAAGCAAAGCTGTCATCACCAGCCTCAGTCACTGATGGGCACATGTCCACAGGGAGCCTTCAAACAGGCTCTATTAATGGCTCTGTTCCTCTGACCCAACCCCTCAGAGCAATCCCTGCATCCCATTCTGTATCAGGACATTGCAGGGTTCATCAGTTGTAGGCTCCAGCCCATCATGAGAGGACTTACGTTGGCAAGATTCTGAGGGTGCTGGTCACACCCTATCCTCAGTCAAGAAACAGGAAGAAGCACTTGGGCTCAGTTAACTCTCTCCTGTTCTACAGTGTAGGGCCCAAACCTGGGGAATGGTGCCACCCACAATAGAAGGGTCTTCCCAACTCAATTAAGTTAATTAAGATAACTCTCACAGGTATACCTAGAAGGCTCTCTCCCAGGTAGCTCTAGACCCTCTCAAGTTGTCACCACTAAACACCACATGGGAAGATGAGGACCCACATGACAAAGGGTAGAGGGATGTTCTGCTCTAAAACTTCCAGAATCAAGTGCAGTCAACACTAGCCAAACAGCTCCAGCAAAACACACATTAAAAACTTTATCTTCCTCCCACCTGTTAAACACATGTATAAAAACAAAAGTAGCTGCCACTTTAAAATTAGCTTTATTAGGGAAAGGAAATTTCACAAAAAACAAGTGTAAAATGGGGTTTTATTTTCTTATGGTCTATTTGTTGCTACAAGCCGAGGTTCCCACACACAATTTCCAAATTAGCTTTCTTTTATTGTTGAAACCATTTACACATACCCAATAGGAAATGAAACTTACTAGCAAGCTGTAGGCAGTCACTAAGGAAGACACTCACTAAATCTACACTTCTGTTTTGTTTTTAGAGGGCCCTTCCCTTGCCATTAGCAAGGTAGAAGTGGCAGCATATCAAAGTCATTTCACTCCTAATGCCATTTTGCTTTTGTTCGCAGAATGCCAATTGCTACATTCATCTTGTATTCTGTTTGTATTCCTGCTTTCCTAATACAGAGCCTGTGGGCCAGGCTGAGGACAGGAGTCAGACTTAGGGGAGCAGAAAAACTGGCTAATGTTCTGTCAAAATGAAGTAAGCTTGGTAATTTTCCAGTTATCATGTTAAAAACAATGCAAATAACAACAACAAAAACAAAAAAACCAAACATTAACAATAGCAAAACTATTCTCATTCTGCCATGGATTTTTGGGGGGTTGGTAGTGGATAAGTGCACACTGGATACTGAAAATGTAAAATTTAATCTGAGGTTCCAGAGTCTGTTTAAATGCCTATTCTAACCATAGAAGTTCATTGACTTGTAGAGACATTGGGTCTGGCTAATTTTAGTGTGGTAATGTTTTCATTTATTTGCAAGGTCTTTTTTGTAATAAGTTTATAAAATTAACTACCCTACTCTTGTGGGGTAGTTTTTGTTAGCTCCTGCCTTCCTGCCAGGCAGTGGGGTGGGGAGTGGGGGCAGTTGCAGCTTACATTATAACCTGCCTCCACTGTCACTAGAGCCTGTGTACTTCCCTATGTGACACATGCACCCCTTAAAAGTGTTCACCCATCACAGTACTTTCTTTTGCTCTTTTACCTGTTCTGTCTGTCTCTTATGTCCCGCCTCCAAGATGACCTCACGATCTTTTGTCACCCCCCCTCCCCAAACCTCTTGCACCAGACCTGTTGCTCATGGAGTGTTCTCTTGGCCACACAACTTGGCAGAACCCATCAGAGGTATCCATTTCACAGCTTTTTCATTACAGTGTTGATTTGTGACATCTTTTTCACATTGGATTCATACAGTCTTCAGAAACACATACTGAGGAAGTTAAGGTCAGGAAGGCACCTTTAGTTATGATCCTGGTACCAAATGGCTGGAAGTGTGGATAAATTACTTCTCCAATTTCTCCACAGATATCAAAATAAGGACAAGCTGGTGATTAAATGATCCTAACATTCCCAAGTTCAGGAAAAAGCAAGGGTCATTGCAGTTGTGTTTGAGAACACCCAAAGTGTCAGGTCAAATACTAAACCAGACTATAGACTTTAAAAGAGGCCTTCCTTTTTACTCTCTTCCTTATGCTAGAATAAGACCTTTAAATCAAGTAGTGATTGAGTGGCATCAATTGGACTGGACAGGTTGTAAAAACATGAAGACACAAAGCTGCATTGGTAGAGAATGGGAACATGTATCTGGGAGGAGTCAGGTGGATGAATGTGATCAGAATTCAGTGTATGAGTTTCTCAAATCATTAATAAAACTAAAATTTTAGTTCCCAGTTATCCAACAGTTACTATCTTCCAAGCTCTGCATCTCTAATGCAAGTGCTTTTGTAGTAGCATGCTGAAGGGATTTTACACAAATTAATTAAATAATTAAATAACATATCGAATTCCATAAGTTATTCAAGACCTCCTAATGTTACAAAGAGGGGGTGGTCAGACTCACCTCATAAACTGAAGAAAGTTTATAATAAAGGAGGGGAGTTCAGGCTAAACCTTTTAAGTAGATGCTGAAGGAAAAACAGGGTGGGGACATAGAAATGGAGAGGGTGGCAAGCACAGAGGCTCAGTACTATGATGCAATATGACTTTTCTGCAAAGAGCAGAGTGGGTTGGTCAGAATGTGAGAAGAGGAGAAGGGAGGGAAAAGAGAAACAGTCAGAGTACACCGTGGAGGTTCTTGTGGTCTGTACATTAATAGTCTTGGGGTTAAATTTTCTGTGGCCCTAATTGTATGAGATGACTAGATGTGTATTCTGTTGCTCCCACTTAATTGGCATTTCTCTAACTGTTTTTCAGTAGGAATCTGTGAATTTAAAATGCTTAATGGTGTAAAAAATATCATAGTTTAAAAATAGAATAAATTATTAATATACCCTGGGTCAAATAAATGCAGAGATTTTCAGTGTATCATCGACCTTTTTGCCACTCAGTTCTGCTTTTGGGGGATAGAAATGGTTCTCTAATATATAATTCTATGTGCTTGTTTTTTATGCATTAAATTTTAATATAAGTTTCTAGGAAAGTGTTTTGGATAGAAGTAGGAGTCTCTGTATATTTAGTAAGGCCAAGGCTATAACCCATTTTATTCATTTGTAAAAATTTAGCTCTATATAATGTAGCACATACCATAGAAAACCTGCAACTCAAAAGCTATGCAAACCTGGGCCAGAATAAGACCAAGTATCTAACAAATATATGAGACCTGATGCCCTAAGGTTAGGTTGTAGTATCCTCTTGTTTGTTTTTAGCAAAGTTCCAGATGATAAAGTCAACTATTGAAAAAAAAATGAGGAAGAAGTGCCATTTGTTTGACTTAATCCCAAAGAGGACAATACTTAATCCAAAAAATACAACAAAGAGACTGTCAGATCAGGGGTTTGCAAAACAGAAATGACAATTTCAGGAAGTGTGTGGAGCTGAAAATTACGGGTGGTTTGGGTATCAGCCCCACTGGAGAGTTTTCGGAAGCATCATTGTCATTTATTGCATTTCTCCCAACATAGGAATCATTTCCATCTCCTTAGGAATTCATTCTGAAATTCGTGTGTGTGACACACTGATGGACATATTAATAATGCAGTGCTTCCTTCCTTCTGAAATGCTAGAATATTTTCTTAGAACTGAAACTGCAGAGTGATCTTCCTAACCAAGCAGGTGAGTAGTAGAGACAATACACATCTCAGTTTCCTCAACGGAGATTATAAACTCCTTTGTGAAGTTAATAATGTATTGGTGAATGCTGGTATCTGCACATAGTATAACTGACTGGAAGTTCATGGAAAGTTGAGCACTTTGCTTAACACTGGACAAACAACTTCTCTAGTCAGTACTTCTCTGACAGGATCCAATTGTCCATCAGCCTCTTGTTCCAAGTGCAAGAAGTCAGACTTTTGCAAGCACCTAACAGCCACTTCTTATCTTCATTGTTTAGCCCAAATCTTGCCTAGAGCCTTTTATTTTTGATCAGGCTTTTGCCACTTATAGCTGTTTTGCACACTGCTATAGTTTGAATCTAGAATGTTTCTCAAAGTTACATATGTGAAAGCCTTGCTCCCCAGCATGGTGTAATGTGGAGGTGGTAGAAATTTTAAGGAATGAGAGATCTCCTGGTTGGTGGGCACTGCCCTTGAAAGGGGTTGTCCCTTGTCTTTTCTGTATTTTGCCTGCCCAACATGAGGTAGCAGCATTCATTCACCACATGCTTCCTACTATGACTGCCATGGCCCAAAGCAATGAGAGCAACCGATCAAGGATCAAATCCTATAAAACCATAGGTTAAAATAAGCCCCTTATTTTTATGAGTTGATTATATCAGGTATTTATTGTAGTGACAAAAGCTAACAAATACACCTTTTGACCCTTACACAACCTCATAAATTACATAGAGGCAATATTATCTAATGTATTACTGAAGTGAGGACATTAATCCTCCAAAGAGGCTAGAAGAAAGGACCAGTCTACACACAAATTAAAGACAGGGCAGGGCTACCAACTCAGCTATGCAGATTTCTCTGAACACCACTGCCATTAGGATGGTTTTGTTTCCTGAGACAGAGTCTTGCTGATGGGAAATCTACTGTGTATGTTTATCTTATTGACTATTAAATAAAATACTGTTTGGCCAATGAAACGGCAAGTTAGGCAGGACTAGGAGTCAAAGAGGATTCTGGGAAATGTAGTAGACATAGCAAGGAGACTCATACTTAAGCGAAGGAGAAAGTGGAAGGGTCCTTTTTTCCCCCCTCTGCTCCTGCTCCAGTGGCAGGATGTGATCCACCGGCAAGGAGGGATGCCAATAAGGTGTCCGATAAGATAAGTCTTATAACATATATAGATTTATGATAGTTAAGACTGAGCTAGCAGATGAGGACTCCTAGTCATTGGCCAAGCAGCTTTGAACCTAATACAAGTTTCTGTGTATTAATTTGGGCCTAACTCGGGCAGGCGGCTGGCGTAAAGCGCACATGTGGCAGCGGGGCTCGGCGGCCTTTGGCAGAAAGATTCATCCTAACATCTTGCTATGTAGTCTTGCTGCCTTTGAACCCAGTATGATGTTTAGGCTGGACTCAAACTTATGACAATCCTGTTTCAGCATCTTTAGCCTGAGGATTACAGCTATGCACCACTATACCCAGCTTGCTTCTAAAACTTAATTCTGTAGAGATATGCCTTCCCTAGCCCACGTGCATGGCAAAAGTAGGACTAGAACCTTTGTTCCTTTGTTTCAGCCAGATTAATGCAGAGAGAGGGGAAGGGAGAGCCATTCTGGTAAGTTACCTCTATATACTGGGAAGATAAAATTAAATATACAGATTTTTCCCTGTCAAACATATGATAAATGAACACAAGAGGAGTGGCAGACTTGATCACAAGAAGGGTGCAGGTAGAGGCATAAGTATGCAATGCCACATCAGCCTGGACACTGGTCATGTGGTGGGACAATCCCCAGAGAGTAACTGAATGCCTCAGGTGTGTTGCCTGTGGGCTTGGAGAAGACTCCAATACAGACTCCAATACAGCCTGAAATCTAAGGAATTTAAGTCTCTCTGTATTTGGGTAGAGATTTGTAGACGAATGCACAAGGGTTGAAGTAAAGTTGAATTTTTAATTCTGAGTAAGTCTCTGAAAAATCAAACTGTCAACTGGGAAAATTTAAACAGGATAGAGGAGGGAGGATTCTGGCCAAATCCCAGATATGACCTCTTGAATCTTCCATCTGGGATGTTCTGATATCTAGAATTCCTCAGACTTGACTTGACCTTTTTGAGGTACCAGCCATTTCACTCATCTGTCCTCTCCATGCCATATAATTTCCATGGAAATGATCATTCTCAGTGACAGGTGAATGGTACATGGGCAACACATAGCAAAGTCTGAGAAATGAGACATTTCTTTAGATATTTCTAGATATGGAAGAAAACTCACAGGTAAGTAGCCTGTCTTTGTATCCTGGGTTTGTTGCTAGTTGGAAGAAAAAGGAAACTAAAGGGATTTATCTTTAAGAAACATATAGTACCAACACAGAGACAGGGAGGATGGGAAGAGTCACTAGAATGCATAGTGATTTTAAAGAGCCAGCCCTACTACTCTCTTTTCTTTCCTAAGTTCAGAATCTTCCTTTAGGGGAAGGGTCATAAGGTCCACCAATGACATTTTATACCCCTGTCTGCAGGTAAGTCTACCTAATGGGTAAGTCTATTCAGTGCCTTACAGTCTTCTTTTGGGAATGAGCTGACTACCTAATGAAAGAAGTATCTTCTAGACTTTAGAGGGTCTCCAGCCTCTGCAGACTTTGTAAGTAGATTCCCCCCTCCACAAGTCTTAGAGTCGTGAGGCTCTGATTCACTAGAGAAGGGACAGGGATCTATGGAAGCCTAGAGTTGGGCATTTATGGAACAAGGAAGGGATATCCATGTCTCACACATGCTTTTGATACCTGTCTGGCCCTCAACTCTGCTACTGACTGCTGTGTGTCCCAAAGGCTGCCTCAACTCCAGTCCAGGATGATAGGAAGATGGCCTGACTGAGTACCCTCAAAACACCTGGATTAACCTGAAGAGTTGACATATTGCTTTCACGAGGGACCATGCAGAGCAAAGAGTGAATTGTGTAATGTAGATTGTTGTAAAATACATGTCAATATGGGAAATACTTTCTGTTGTTTTGCTTCTGAGACAGGGTTTCATGTAGCCCAGGCTGAACTGTGAAGGGCACATGAGCCAGTTAAAGATGGTGCTGAGGGGAAGTCAGGAGGGCAAGTTCTAAGATGTTTACAAAAAAGGGTGATTGGTTGCCAAGATTGAATCAGATGAGGTCACTGCACGAATGGCTCATGTTCACTAGGTAAAGCATAGGGCTCCTAGGTGTGTGATAGGCTGACTTTTAAAACCATTGGTTGGCTGTTTTCCCACTCTGTGGTTTTTTGCTTTAAAAGATGCTTGCTGTGAGGCAATAAATGGGTTCCTGCTTGACTAGACTCCTTGCTGCATCTGATTGTCTCTGGGATCCTGGGAGGTGGGGGAACAGGTGAGCAGTGCACAACTCTTCCTCAGACCCTGCAGATCTGGAATTTATGCTAAGCTCATTATTCTCTTCCCTTGACTTCACATGTGGTGGGATTACAGACATGTACTGTCATGTCTAGCATTGGGATATACTTTTTAGTGGCCATTTTACCCTTTAAACCATCATGTAGTAGTAGTAGTAGTAGTAGTAGTAGTAGTAGTAGTAGTAGTAGTATTTACTATGTGTCTGTGTGTGCACGTGTGAAGGCTAGAAGAAGGGATCAGCTCTCCTAAAACTGGAGCTACAGATAGTTGTGTTCCACCCCATGTAGATGCTGCGAGTTAGACTCAATTCCTTTGTATCAACAGAAAGCACTCTGAACTGCCGAGCCATCCGTGCAGCCCCAGACTATTCCTAATGCTTTCTTTCATTTTAGGCAAATGAAACTGTTTTGCAAAAAGCCATCATGCCATGGCTTAATTATATGTGACAAGGGGTAATTTTTCATTGCACAGTTATACTTTTCATACAATACAAAGTTGAAATAATTGAGAAATATTGTACTGCATGTTGGACAAAGCAACTAATTTTGAGAACTTGAAGTTTTGTCCTAGCATGTTGTGTGAGAGTAAGGACACACAGGTAAAAATGTTTGGGTTAATACAAGTCTGACTTCCAGGTATTGTATAACTTAGAGTAAGCTGATGCCTGATGGTAGCATCTGTGATCAATGCCAGTTCTCTCTCCCTCCCATCCTCCTATGTCCCCACAACCCCCCTCCTCCCATCCACTCCGCAGGCAGGGTGAGGCCTTCCATAGGAAATCTTCAAAGTCTGTCATATCATTTGGGGCAGGGCCTAGGCCCTCCCCCGTGTATCTAGGCTGAGAGAGTATCCCTCCATGGGGAATGGGCTCCCAAAGTTTATTTGTGCATTAGGGATAAATACTGGTTCCACTGCCAGAGGCCTATGGGGCCTCTGTGTTTTTTAAAAGAGGCAGAAGGGAGGAAGTGAGGAGAGTGACCACCTTCAGCAAGTGTTTATATAAGACCTGCCCCTTTCCCTGAAAACACCATCTCATGCCTTACCTGGCTCCAGTTTCCCACTCGCCAGCCAGCACAGGGCCGGAGGTGGCACTTCTTGGCAGGGTCTGGCCTCTGAATGGCTGCACAGTCAGCATTCATCCCGGTGCTGCACTCCACACTCCTCCAGTAGGCCCCCAGCCCACATGTAGTGGAGCACTGCCGCAGGGAGGACAAGAGAAGAGAAACGGAAAGCTTTTACTCAGGTGTAATCATCACCGGGATCCTGGAGCCAAAGGTGTCCTGTCCTAGAAGCTAAGTTGTCCCGGTTATGAATACATACACAATCTGAGTGTCTGGCTGAGTGATTTAGAATGAACAGCTTTAACAGACAGCTGCAGTTAGGGAATCGCCCAGCTGCATATGCAAGGACAGCCCAGTGCAAATGGAAATGTGCTTTTCCTTGATAAGTACACTGACACAAGCGCCTGGGCCACAGGCACATTGCTGTATTTCTTAACATTCCAGTTTAGAATGGATGCCAGATGTGAGCATACGCCTCACACCTCATATCCAATGTGGCAATGGCTTTTACCTGATTTCTTTCAATGGTGCCAATTAGTATTATTTATTATAGGATAGATAAAGACACAAAAGCTTAATGCTGGTTTGTGCATGGAGGAAGATGGGGCGTTCTTCCTCCAGACCTTATGTCATATATTTCGGTAGTGACTCCCAAACTCTAGCATCTCTATCTCTAAGTAACATCCAGGAACCCTGGTAAATGTAGATTAGCACCAGTCAGTGTCCTCCATAGCACTGCAATGCAGCAGTTTTACCAAGTTCCCAGATGATGCTGGTGCTGTTGCCTCTTAGACCACAGCTGAAGCTGGGAAGAAGTGACAAAATGCTGCTTGTCACTTCTTGCCCCACTGGCAGAGAACAAGGCAGCAGCCTTTTCGAGAGGTAGAATTGATTTGTTTGAAGCTGTCTTCACTCATGTATAATTATTTAGTATCGCAAGTTTAGCTTGCATCCACCTTGAAGATTACACAGTTTCTGCTGTTGGTCGTTTAAATTTTCTCCTTGCATCCTCTTTCCTGCTTACCCTTAGGAAGGGGTTGTTTCTGAATACATAAAACACAGCTGTGAGCATATTTAAAAGAAAGTTTCTTTTGATAAATTATATAAATCAAGAGCAAGCCTTGTGTTTCCTTGACTGCACATTTGCCTTCTCTACAATTTGGTGCTTCATCTGTGAAAATTTTGGTTATATATATATATATATATATAACATGCCTTTAGTATTATAAACCATATATATGTGTGTATGTATATATAGTCACATTTCTATCTTAGGTAAATCATAGAATCACAGAAAGGGAAAAGTGGAAAACACCAAATGTCATAACCTTATTTCAATTTTCATTTGTAAGTGAAATTTCTCCTCATCCTTAATCCTTGATCTGTGTCTTTCCTGTTTCTCCTTGAGCAGCATCATGCATCTTTATAGTAGAGACAATGGCAGCTAATGTGCTGCAATTACCACCTCATGGATGAAGCCCGCTAATGTTCTCCACCATTCACTCTCACACTTTTCTTAGTTTCTCTCCTCAAGAGGTGGACTCGCTTTTCTCAGCCACTAAATGAAGGCTGTTCTTGAGACTTCTTTTGGCTCATAGGGTATGGAGGCTAATGCTATGCTAGTTGCCATGCTTTGGTTCCCACACTGGCTGTGGACTCTGCTTTTGCCATGAGCATATGCCTGGGTAATACATAAGAAGATAAGAGCTAACATGAAACAGAATTAAATGACTCTGCTGAAGCTACCCCAGGCCAGCTTTCAACTGACCTCCAGCAGGGACCCGAGAGGACAAGCTGCAGTTGATAGAACCTCCTGATGGGTAATCACAGTTCTGCTGTCTGCCAACTGTGTGAGCCTTTGCAGATTCTGAACTTCCCTAAGTCTGTAAAACTGGTGACAACAGTAGGATTCCCCTCATGTCGGGTTGTTGTGAGGACTAAAGATTACTTATGCATACCACCTTGCACAAGGTCACACAGACTGTTTGCTGTGTTATTAACTTAATATTGTGATATAGAAGGAGAATATAACATTTAGCCAAGCCTAGGACAGTTGTTAATGAGACCACATTGCCAGGCTAGTAATGATCTCATAAATCTCAAGAGATGGCCTTAGTTCCTTGGGCCATATTTATGCTACAAATCATATATATTATTTATGGAGCTTGGAGTTTAGTCCTCCTCGCTGGAGTTGGCTTAATTCTCTTTGACGGTTTCTACTTAGGCATCTTGCCATAGTCCAAAAGTAAAGCTGACACGAGGAAATCCACAGACTATAGAAAAAGCAAAACAAAAACCACATTCTGTCAATTCGAGGTTTCCTTATAGGAGATGAGAGAAAACAAGAGGCCTTTGAGGAAGTGTGTGTGGGGGGGGTAACTTAGTTCTGTCCCGTGACCAGTTGACCTTCATCCGGTCCTGCAGCAACTGACCCACCCATAAGGTTCGGGAACAAGTGTGGGATGCTAGAACTAGAGCAGATACTGAGGGTCAGGTCAGCAACATCCGAAAAATAAAAGCTCTGAAAAGATGTGGAAAATTATACTGTCACTTTCATTCTCTTAGCTACACAAGCCTACATTTCACTGACTGGCCCAAGGGGTCTGGTTGAACTGGCCCAAGGAGGCAGTTCGATGAGATGGGAGATTCTATCAGAGTAAGAGCCACAGCAGTGCATGGTACACAACCCTTAATACTTCTGTTACATGAGTGCAGATAGAAAACTCCCCCATTCCTTGCTATGTGTCTGGCATTCTTCTGTAGCACTTAGATATTTCTTTTATCTCATACCAACCTTAGGAGTCAGATATAATGATCATGGAGGAAACTGAGGGAGTAACAGGATGCATTTATTCAAGGTTCAAGCCCAGGGAGTGCATTTTCAAACTGCATACCTTTTTGTAGGATCAACTTCGTTTCTGAATCAATTAATAATTCTGCTGCCTTAATTAGTAAAAGAGATGTGCTAGGTACATTGAGGGCCTTGAGCAATCTTCAAGTGCAAGAGAGAGGCAGAGGGTCTATCCTAAGAGAGACTTCAGACCAAACTCCAAGAAACATTAGAAATGGTTTCTGGCTTAGGGACCAGAAGAGCTTAAAATGACCCTGAAGAACACAAAGGGTGTGAGAGCAGAGTGGGAGGGAAAGGAGATCCCAGACAGAAGGAATATCATGGATGAGCACACTGGACAGGGACAGTCAGAGAATAAGGGAGAGAGAATAAAGGAGATTGGGCACTTTCAGCTTTTGAATTTTGAGATGCAAATTGGTTCAGAAAAGCAGTAAGACTGGAAAGTCAGCCTATGTAATGTCACAGAGCCAATTTGATGTTTGATTAGATTTTCTTTTCTTTTTTTTTTTTCATTTTCCCCTTTTATCATTGGCAGAGTGCATTTCATCTGATCTGTATGTATTGAAAAGACAAGTATTTGTAAGGACATTGGAGTGGTTAGAACAGCTGTTAGTCCTCTTACATCTCTTACATCTCTTGCAGTAGTGTCTGGAAAAGATTGGAACAGGGAAAGAGTAGGGGCTCACAGACCAGAAGTGAGGCAAGGCAGGTACCCGGAACTGAGGATCTTACATTTTTTTGTTTGTTTTGTTTTGTTTTGTTTTTTCAAGACAGGGTTTCCTGTATTGCTTTGGAGCCTGTCCTGGAACTCGCTCTATAGACCAACTGGCTTCGAACTCACAGATATCTGCCTGACTCTGCCTCGGGAGTGCTGGGATTAAAGGCGTGCACTACCAATGCCCAGCTGGGATCTTGCATTCTTAACTACTGAGTTACACTGGTACTTTGGGCTGGGGGATCCTTCCTTATTAAAGATTTCCCTGAATATTGCAGTGATTTTTAAGTGTTGGCTTTCAGACATTAAATGTGATCATTACTTAATAACAAACAAAACTAGGCCCATTAACTTTCAAATACCCCCTACCAGAAGATGAGGCCTTTAACTAGCAGGAAACAAAAAGGAGATGACAGAATGGATGAGTTCACCCAACTTTAAACATTATTAGAGCTTGTTTTAGTGGGGGAGAGGCAAACCAGTATCAGTGGTGATTCTTAAGTTTCTGAGACATTGTAAAAGAGAGATGAGTGATCTATTGTCCTGAATGACCACCAAAAGAAACATCTTCAGAAGTGGGCAGATAGATGTAAGAATCAGGAACCACAGGATGCTCAAAATCCAAGACTTCCATCCTGAACTCTGACTGTCTCAGGCAAATAAGTATATGAAACATTTTTATCTAAAAAAATACATAAAAGGAGTAGTTCCTAAGTCCTGCCATGTAAGGGAACTCTGCCAAGTAGAGAACTCTAATTTTCATTCATATTCTTGTTGTTCCTTTCCCATAGCTAAACTGCTTACAACCAGCAGCTCTGGAGATGGTAACACTGTTGCCAACCTGTTGGTAAATTATGATAAATTCAATACCACAATTATTTTTGTCAAAGCCAAATGATGACATTTGAGCCTAAATGAATTGTGTCTTGATTTACTATTATCAACATGTTTTAACCTGTAGGATCAAAAGTCATTATAATCTATGGCTACTCCATTATGTTTTAGTTTCTTGTATATAGTAATTTCTTATTGAATTAATTAACATTTGTCAACTGAATAGCATCTATTGGCATCTAATGTCATCACAACAAATCACTGCAACACAAAACTGTCAATTACAAAACTGTCTTGGGATTTGAGGATGGATAAAAAGATGAGAGGATTGGTCATCCTGAAACAAATACTTATTTTTAGTATTTTTTTACTTAGTCACATGATATTATTATACATCACAGGATGATCTGGAATTTGCTTTGTGGCCCAAGAGGGCTTTGAATTCATAGTCTTCCTACCTCTGCGTTGTGAGTGCTAGAATCACCGGAACCCTTGTTTGTTGGTTTGTTTTTTGAGACAGGTTTCTCTGTATATCTCTGGTTGTCCTGAAACTCACTCTGTAGACCAGGATGGCCTCAAACTCAGAAATACACCTGCTTCTGCCTCCAGAGTGATGGGATTAAAGGCATCAGCCACCACCTCCTAGCCACAGGCACCTTTAAAAAAAAAACTTCCATATTTACCTTCGGGGCAGAGGAGGGCTATCCATCCTTACTAATATCCTAGTGTAGGGCTCTCCCCAATTACTGGGCTTGCATTCTCAGGGGGTCTCCCTTCATACTGTAGCTTCCATCTAAGTACTAAGCTTGTCCTCCTCAAAGTCATCAGTCACCTGCCAATGATCAAGTGCAAAGGGTCTATAGTTGACTCACCCCTGATTATAAACACTGCTGCATTTCTTTGCCTAGGCCTTACATATCAGATTATTCCTTACCAGACTTCCTCATGGGATCTGATACTTAGCCATCTCTTTAAAACATGAGTGCTCTATATCGTTTCACTCCTGGGCCACAGGTCTTTGCAGTGTGCAGGTAGTTTTGGGGTAACCTCACTCATTTTCAAGGCTCTAACTACCACCTATTGATCATGGCTGCCAAATTCTCTCTCTAATTATTACCTTCTTCAAGAACCCCAGACCCATACACTAGTTATAACTGGACATCTCAGAAGAACCTCTAAATTCCATCAGTTCAGGCCACAGCTACCGAATTGCTTTGGCATGGGAAGATAGCAGCCTCTGTCTTTGCTTTTTGGGGATATGGCATGATTTTCGAAAGACACATTTTGAGAATGTTATTTGAGAAGAAATCATTCTAAGAAACCCTGAAAATGTCAAACTTACTTTAAAATTTCTACATTGAATCAATGGTAGTGATATCATAGGGGGCATTTGTTTTTATGACTCCAAAATCCATTCTTGTGGAATACATTATTTTCTCATCTGTCAACTTAGAGTCATTACATAACTGACACTGCTTTTATATATAACAGGAGCAAAGGAACAGCAAATAAAACCAAAGGCACAGAGGGTGGTAATGTTTCTGATTTGCAAAGGAAGGGATTGGGGTTCTCAGTTGTCCACCCAAGTTCAAATCACTGTTCCTATAATCAGTGGGCAAGATTCTAGTTACTTAACCTCTACATCCTCACCTCTAGTGTGTCATTAATCTTCTCGGGCTGCAGTGCCTTCACAGGTTACTAAGTTTTTACTGTCAGCTCTTGTCCTAACAGCCCTTCAGAACTTATCAGATAGGAATGTGACTAAAATATTGGCTTAGGAGACACATTTATCTCCCTTCAATAAATTAGATTCCTATGAGTACAAACATCTTATCTCTGAAGCAAGACTTTTGTGAATAGAGATAAGATGTTGATTCACCAATGAAAATTGTGATAACTCACTTTGGAAATGGAACATAAATCCATGTGAAAAGATAGTTCAAGTGCAAATAATTACAAATTTGGTACAGAAACCTTTGAAGTTTTTAATTTACCCACATGGTGCTGGTAAAGCTAGTATCGTGACCCACTGAAGCTGGCTAATTTACACAAAAGAATGCTATACTCTTAATTTGTAAGTTGGTGTCACAATTCAACATAGAGTCAGGAGGTTATAGTGAAAAAAGAAAGTTCATCATCGCGTTGAAAAGTGAGCTTTTGGACAGTCACTTAATAACTAGCCTCTATGTTTCCGATTTGTAAATCAGCATATATGGGATAGACACCATCTACTTTCTAGGATAGCCAAAGTGAAATATTAAGAGACCATATATGAGAATGTTCGGGAAGTTAGCATGCCTTGTAAATTGCTCTAACTATATTTTTTCTTATATCAACAGCTATTAGACACTAGCCATTATTCTTAACTAACTGCTCTAGCTCAGCTCTCTTTAGAAAAGAAAATAAGACATAAATTATTTAAAAACCCTGAATTATTTGAATTTGTGGCTACATAATTTTATATATGCTAAACTTTTACTGAATTTCAAAATTAAAATAGCTAAGAAATTATTTTGGTGCCTCAAAAGGATGTCACTAGTTGTAGAAATAAAAACAAACAAGCCAGACGGGGTGGCTCATGCCTTTAATCCCAGAAGAGGCAGGAAGATCTCTGTGAGTTCGAGACCAGCCTGGTCTACAAGAGCTAGTTCCAGGACAGCCTCCAAAGTCACAGAGAAACCCTGTCTCAAAAACAAAACAAAACAAACAAACAACAAAAAAACAACCAACCAACCAAACACAAAACCAAGCAAACAAATATCTAGTCAGATTTCTAAAGCCTGAAAGTAGGGGCCAGCATTTTATTATAATGCTTAATTTTTCTTAGATATTACAATTCTTTCAATGAACCATAGTGATTTTTTTTTAAAATGAGGCCACCCAAAGAAGAATAAAATGAAAGTGGGTGCCTAGCTGTGTAAATAGGTAACATTTGTGATATGTGATCATATATTAATAAAGCAGTTTAAGTGTATCACAAGTAGAAAGAGGGCCCTTTGAATCAGTCTACCACAAGATCCAGCAATTCCACTCTTAGGTGTATACCCAAAAGAAGCACATTCATACACAAAGGAAATCTTTTCAATGATGTTCATCACAGCATTATTTGGAATAGCCAGAACCTGGAAGCAACCTAGATGCCCCTCAACTGAAGAATGGATAAAGTATCTACACAATGGAGTACTACTCAGCAGAAAAAAACCCCCAAAAACAATGGAATCTTGAAATTCGTAGGCAAATGGATGGAACTAGAAGAAACCATTCTGAGCGAGGTAACACAGTCACAAAAAGACAAATATGGTATGTACTCACTCATTTATGGATTCTAGACATAGAGCAAAGGATTACCAGCTACAACCCACACTGCCAGAGAAGCTAAGAAACAAAGAGAAGTCTAAGAGAGACATACATGGTTCCCCGGAGAAGGGGAAAGTTACAAGATCTCCTGAGCAAATTGGGAGTATGGGGGGAGGGGAAAGGAGCTAGGAGAATGAGAAGGGGAGAAGAGGAGGGGTGAGGAGAACATGAGGGAGCAGGAAGGTTAAGTTGGGGGAAGAATAGAAGAGAGCAAGATTAAGAGATTCCATAACAGAGAGAGACATTATAGGTTTAAAGAAAAATCAGGCACTAGGGAAATGTCTGGAGATCCACAATGATAACACCAACTAACAATCTAAGCAGCAGAGAAGAGGCTACCTTAAATGCCCTCCCCTGATAATGAGATTGAAGACTGACTTATATGCATCATATAGCCTTCATCCAGCAACTTGTGGATGTAGAAGCATACATCCACAGCTAAACACTGAACTGAACTGGAATCCAGTTGCAGAGAAGGAGGAGTGATGAGCAACAGGGTCCAGACCAGGCTGGTGAAACCCACAGAAACAGCTGACCTGAACAAGGGAGAGCTCTTGATCCTCAGACTGATATCTGGGAAACCAGCATGGGACTAATCAAGACCCCATGAACGTGGGTGTCAGTGAGGAGACCTTGGAAATCTATGGGGCCCCTTGTAGTAGATCAGTACTTATCCTTAGCATAGGAATGAACTTTGGGAGCCCATCCCACATAGAGGGATACTCCCTGAGCCTAGACATACGGGATGGACCTAGGCCCTATCCCAAAGGTATGACAGACTCAGAGGATCCCCTATGGAAGGCCTCACCCTCCCTGGGGAACAGAAAGGGTATGGGATAGGTAGGGTGTTAGTTGGTGTGTGGGGGGGAGGCAGGGGAGAAGGGGAGGGAGAGGGAACTGGAATTGACATGTAAAATAATCTTGTTTCTAATTCAAATAAAACAATTAAAAGAAAAGAAGAAAAAGAAAATAGGAAAATAAAGATTAAGAGGGCCCTTTGATAGATATTTCTTCTCCAGCTTGTTTTGAGTACACACATATATGAAATCAAGGGATATATACCCCTTGATAATAGGATAGAATACATGTATTGGATATAAAGAATTGTTGACATAGTAAGTATATAATTCTTCTAGAGTTTGTCTCAGATTTCCAATCCAATTGTAATTGTTGCACCAGTCTGAACAAAGTCTGAGCATTAGCTTTCTGCTGGAATGTGAGGACAGGTCCTTATAGCTGTCTATCATCATAGGACCCCTGGAGTAGTCAGCTGGAAGGGATATCAGAGATGTCCCACCCTAGACATATCAGCCTGCAGCTTAAGCACCAGCCACAGAAAGATGACTGGATTCTTCATGCTAACACAGTAACTGGCTCAGGTCTTCTGCAAGATTGTATGTCTTCCCTGTAGCACTTGTGAATAATATATAGATATATACTTGTATGTACACATTGTTTTATAAATAATATATCTTGTAATTTTATAAATAAATTATATACATTTTGTAAGTAATGTATTTACTCTTCTCCTTCTTATTTGGGGAGTTGGCACAGAGAAGGTTGTAATTGTCATTACACATTTTTCTTCTATCCTTCCTCCCTCCTTCCTTTTTTCCCCTTCATCCTCCTCTATCCTCTCCATTCTCTCCCTTTCTTTCTCTTTTATTTCATCAGATCTTATGTAACTGAGCTGGCTTCCAGATGTGCTCTGTAGCCCAGGCTGGTATTCAACTCAGCATCTACCACCTCAGCCTCTCAAGAGCTAGGATTACAAGTGTGTTCCTCCAGGCCCAATTAGTCAACAATTTAATGTAATTTCATTTCAGACTTTTCACAACAAAGCATTCCTAGATATTTCTCATATAGCATCAGGTCTGGGATAGGAAACTGAATCTCTTACTTTACTCCAGTTTCCAACAATCCAGTATGCAGGGCTGTGGTCCTTCATAAGCGGCTTGTAATTGGAAGCATTTAGCAGGAATCCCTCAGCAATCAGAATAGATGCATCTTCCTCACTCAGGACAGGTCCAGAGCCTTGGGGTGGATTTGTATTATTTGCCAATGCCAAGTGGTCATGGTTTTCCAACTTTTCTGAGGGTGTTGGCTGGCCTCCTCCAAGAGGGAGTGGAATGTTCCCTGGTTTTTCAGTGATCAGCCCCTCAGCTCTGGGTGTCTCATTTTTAAGGGACCAGTCAGGTACTGAGCCTTCCATGGTTGCACTGAAGGGAGGCCATGAGGTCTCTTCCTCAACATAAGATGTCGGTGGAGGTCCAAGTGGTGTTTCTGCATTCCTCTCCATGGAAGAATCATGCTCAGGGACTCTGATCTTATTCCATATCACAGAGTGGTTTTCATCCTTGTTCATAGGCTGGTCACTGTCTTCCCCTGAGCCACTATGTATCTCTACTTCTGGATCTGTGGTCAAGGTGTTATAAAATGGAGTTACTTGCCAAGTCACCGCATTGCTAGATGATAAGCCAGAATCGCTTGTTGTGGTTGCCCAAAAGTCACTCTCCGAAGTAGGACCTATAGCTGAACTAGAAACGTTTTCATCATCAGGCTGGAGACTCAATGACCAGGAAGTGAGGGGGACCTGGGAAGTGCTTCCAGAGGAAGTAGGGTAGTGAGAGTCCTCTTCAGTTTGGGTTGGTTCTTCTTCAGGCGCTATAGTGGGGCCAAGACTGGTGATTGCCTGAGAACTTCTGCTCACAGACTCAGGTACTGTGGGTATGGACAGTGGTGTGGGCCTTGACGTAGGTGCAGGGATGGGCTTAAAAGGGTCATACTCTGGTATTGGTTGGTTTTTCCCACCGGGAGCTATATCTTTATTGGATTTCAGAACTCGATGGCTAGATGGGCATTGCTGGAGGCCACAGAGAGCTCGACTGTTGGGTTTCCGTGTCTTGTCACAAGGTTCATTATGGTTCTTGGCACATGTGACACTTCGAATCCGCACTCCACCACCACAGGAAACAGAGCACTGGAAAAGAGAGACAGATGTTAGTTTAGTGAAAAAGATGCCTTTCTTCGTATGGTCATGCCCAGTGGTGATGAATTGTGCCGCTAATGCTCTATCTCCATTTGGTTTCCATGCTTTTAGTTTTACATCGTCTCCTGGAGATCAGGACCCAGGAGATCAGGAACTAGGGCCCAGGACCAGCCTGAACAAAAACCATTAAATAGTCAAACTGAAGGCAGCTTGGGTCTTTAAAACTAGACGCTACCTTCTCTACAAGGAATGGAGTGAGTTAAATCACTCACAGGGTCTCTTTGAGAGCAATGGAGACTATTATCTCTTTCTCAGGGTTATAATGCTATTAAATTAGTACAAAATGTTCTCAGATTCTCAAGATTGCACTAAACTAGTTACATGAAACCTTTCATGTTTAGAAAATAATGATTAGAATTCGTCTAGTTTCTCCTAGGTGCCACAGTCATCTATGGCAGGTGGAATTACATTAAAAGGTAGATAATCACCATCTTCAAAAATACTTATGTTGTAAGTTTATTTTTCCTGAACTTGAAAAATGAGAAGTAAATCAAAGGTGGAAAACATCCTTTCTCAAATAATTTCGTCCTTCCATCAATGTGACATTAATACGCACACTGAGAAGGTGGCGTAATTCCCACCCTAGTTTCCTTTTACGTCCTGGAAGGTTTGCTAAAGCACAGGCATCTAGATTACCTTTGTGGGGGATTCAGACAGGGCACTCCATCCTCAGAGCACAGTGCAAAACTTGTTTCCTCTAGCTCTATAGCTGCTAATCATACATAGTTGCTATGTAACAAAGGAAATTAGTTATTTTGAAAGATCCACACTTTCACCGAACTGTTCCATTTTTACTTTTCCTAATGACATGTGTTTTCAACCAACAGGTAGCTAGCACTGGAACATGGACCACTCAGGTCCTCTTGCCATCCATTTTACACTGATTAGTATTCTCTGTCTTGCATCCTTGAATTCAAAAGCAGGTTTCCTTGGGCTATGCCTGCACAATACTCCATGGATTTCACAGAGCCTTGCAGCCATTATTCTGTGTGATATTTGCAATATCTCTGCAAGATTTTCAAGGCAGTGTGATTACTTTTCCCTCTGCACGAGAGGAGTCAAAGGCTTCAGAACCTACTTGAAAGGCTGCAGGTCAGCCTCTGCAAAAAGCTTTCTTCTCTGGCAAAGCCCAGTGAAGCACAGATCCATAGTCTTTGCTTAGTGAGTTGCCCGGTGTTTTTGATGTTGCAAGGGTAACAACCCAAAGGCTGGAGTATTCCTTATGCTTGCTTACATGCCAGGATAATTCTTAAGATATCTGATCACTGTATATAATTCTAAGTGTTTTATTTGGTGGGGGAAAAACAAGAATAGGGAAATGGTTGGTTACCTATAAGCTTATGCATTCTTTTAAAGCTTAAATTCCTTGCTTCCTCCAGTCCTATTGGTGTAAAAAATATTCTTTATTTTGTTTCCGTCAAGCACAATCACTCGGGATGCATAATAGTTCTGGGGAATCAGCTCCTTTTGGAAGCAAGATGCACCATTGAATGCAGGAGACCATAGAGTCAAAGCAGTGCCGGATACAGATTAGGGCTTAGGGTGCAGTTAGTAAAGGACTCAAATGTCCAGTCCTGAGGCTGGCCAGTAGTTACAGTGCTCATATCTGGTGGGAACTGTGTTTTACATGAAGTGCTCATATCTGGTGGGAACTGTGTTTTACATTATATTTCCCACCAATGGTGAGGCTGTCGCTTAAGAAATATCTTCTGGTGCTTCTGGGGCTCCTTCTATAATTCACTAGGAGCCTAAAAAAGAGCAAGCTGGAGGTATTAATTTTTCTGCTTTGTCTCAGATTTCTGTCATTTTTGAATATAAAGACACTTCATGACCCATTCAGCTTAGTCATCCCTCATCATCTTGGATTTTCAACTCTTCACATTGTAAAAATTGATAAATGCAGCAAAGTAAGTTTCAGTCTGTGCCTGAATACATTTCCCCTCAGGCTGCTTTGCTTTTAGCATGTATTCACAAACAAAGCTAATGCCAAATGGTCTCAAGGGCATGTGGTCCCTCTTGCAATTTTTCTCTCCAAGAGGCATCAGAATATATAACAACACAGGGGATTCTTCTGCATCTGCCCCAAGCTTCTGGGTTATTCTGGCTTGTAGGAATTCTACTGCTTGTGGGAATGTGAACATGCACAATAGACTTCATTTTTTTTTAATTAAAAAGCTTTGAAGCATGTGCTCTCTGTTTCCACTATATTGATCTATAGAGAAAAGAAATAACTTCAAAATATTGTTACCTCTAAGCTTATGCATTTTTTTAGCTTAAGTTCCTTGCTTCCTCAAGTCCTATTGGTGTAAACATTTCCTCCTTTATTTTGTTCCCATCAGGCATAGTCACATGCATTTTGGTCTACTCTGTCTTAAAACAACAAAATCGATATGTGAAAAATGGAATAGTGGTAAACATTTTAAAAGTTAGAAACTTCCTATAAATAAGATTCCAGATTTTTTACTTTGCTTGAAATGTCGGATGATTATCACCCATTGGACTCATTCCCAATGAGTTCAAAACTTCAGTTAGGGAAACCCAGGCTTGCGACCGTCACATGTGTTCTCTGGCACACCCACATGTACCTTCCTTCCCCAGGAGACACCCACTCTTCCAGATGACCTACAGTGACCATTCCTTAGCCATCCTTATCACAGGGCATGTTGTGCCCAATGGGATGCTATCTACCAAGGACTCTGAGCCCAAGCAGGAAGTTGCTTTTTCTCATAGCCACCCGAACAAACAGTGCCTCTTTGTATTCAGCCTGGAGCTGAATCTTCTTAGAACATTTATCTCCTCTAGAACTGTCAAGCTCGTCAGATGAGACAAATGCAACTGGCTGACACATACTTGAAGCACATCTCAATTGGTACTTTTGGAATCCTCACAACCAATTTCAGCTATGATTATCATATGCCCTGACCTCATTTATCATTTTGAACCCTGTACCAGGCAAGTAGCTTGCTATTCATCCAATTTGTGACCTCTCTGGGAGTTTTTTGCCACTCCTGAATTAAAGCCTCTGGAGATAGCCTGCTGAGAAAGAGGCCTGCTGCTGAGTTGGCCAACTCTACCCACCCAAGGTGCACAAAGGCAAGAGGAACTGACTGGAGGCTCAGATGTGTGGCACTGAGTGAGTTCATCTAAAAACACAGCAGGAACTTATTAGAGGTTTTGGGCTAAAGGGGCTTAGTGAGAAACAGCTAATATTTTGTACATAAAACATTCCTCTATAACTCAGGAATTTATAAATGAACGAGTGTGCTTCATACCAAAAATTATGTTTGAACATAAGCTAAAACATTACATATTATGAGTGAATGTATGTCATCTCTCCTCCCTAAAAGTAGACATATCAGAGTCAAATTGCCTTCCATGTCAGAATGTTCTCTAATTTAGGGACAGTTTAAGTGGGAATCAATTTAAAATGAGGTCTTTTAGAGTGGGTGTTAACCCTGTACTATCAGTATTCTTACACAAGGGGGAGTTTTGGACAAAGAAATATCTTGTAGGAAGAATATGTGGGAAGATGAAGGTGGGATATGGTGGTTCACTTACAAGTCAGGGGAGCCCAAGGATTTCTAGGAAACTACCAGAAGCAGGGAAAAGGAGGCATGAGGTCATTGTCTCTCACAGAACTTCAGAAGGAAGTTAGCCTCCTGAGATCTTGATCTAGGATTTCTGCCTTATAAACGCTAATACAAGAAATTTCCCATTGTTTCAGATAGCTAGTTCATGAGACTTCATTAGAGAAACTCTAAGAAAGCAATTCCATATCTTAGATGATTTAAAACAGACACAATAAAGAGACTCAGTGTGATACACTGAACTGAACTGGACTCCAGATGCAGAGAAGGACAAGTGAAGAACACAGGGGTCCAGACCAGGCTGGTGAAACCCACAGAAACAGCTGACCTGAACATCGGGGAACTCTTGCTCCCCAGACTGATAGCTGGGATACCAGCAGGGGACTGATCCAGAACCCAGGAACATGGGTTTCAGTGAGAAAACCTCAGAAATCTACAGGACCTCCTGTAGTTGTTCAGTACTTATCCCTAGCATAGGTATGGACTTTGGGAGCCCCTTTAACATAGAGGTATACTCCCTGAGCCAACACACATGGGGGTGGGCCTAGGTCCTATCCCAAAGGATATGATAGACTCTGATGACACCCTATGGAAGGCCTCACCATCCAGGGGGAGCAGAAAGGATATGTGATAGATAGGGTTTTAGTTGGGGGGTGGTGGTAGAGGAGGACGGGAGGGAGATGGGAACTGGGATTGTCATGTAAAACAATCTTGTTTCTAATTCAAATAAAAAAATCTGCAAAAAAAGAGAGAGAGGCTCAGTGTGGCTTGAAACCAGCTTTCTGAGTAGCTCTTAGCAACAAGAGTGCCTAAGTATATTTCCTAGTAATCAGAAGACCATAGGCTGCCATGTTTGGAAAGGGCTGAGATGTTGGTTTGCAGACACTCCATGCCCAAAATCAGGTCAGAGCATCAACACACAGAAGTACTTGAGACCTTAACTGAGACTACTAGAGGTGAGCTTGGAAATGTCTCCTGTCCCTCCATGCTTTCCCTTCTGTTTGCAGGAATCCCTACAGGACTTCACATGTACTTTCCTGGTGCTGCGTTTGTTGCCATGCCTTCTATTTGAAGAACCATTGAAAACTCACTCGTAGCAACTAATATCTGGTCTGTTTAGTTACTCTGTATTTGTCTCTGCTTGGATTGGAAGTGTTTCAAGAAGGAGCCTATGGTTGAAGCCTGGTCCCAGCCTGGTGAACCCATTCACTGGGCAGTGACTAGACTGTGGACACTTTAACTTGGTCAATGGATAAATACCCTGAAGGCTTCTGGTAGGATGGCATTGCTCGGAGGTGGCTTTGAGTAAAAGGTGGGTCCTGGTTGTAGGAAGCAGATCCCAGG